TAAAGGTTCCTCACGCTGTGCATGTAAGAGCCCATTTTTCACAAAATGGTAGTCGATGCGGAAGGATCTTCAAAGAAAGTGATCATGATGACACGAGGCCGGCGCCATTTTGATGAAGTCATTGAGCTCATTGGTAGGCTAGACCGCTCAGCGCGTTGGGGGTGTTGTTAGGACCGTCTCTTGCGACCCTTCCCTAAGTGACGCTCATGACGTTAGCGAAACGGCTTTTACCATCGTGATGACTGCCTTTAATCCTATCAGATATTGCGGTAGGTCCCGATCATTATTGGCTGCTCAAATTGAAAACAGTGTTTCTCTTACCGATCTTTCTGACAAGATAATGCCACCTATTACTCGAAATAGCAAGACAAGATCTTACCAAACAGAGCATCCTTGCTCGGAATAGGAGCTAATTTGCTTAGTGGGACTGTTGAGTTGTCGGATGGACCGTAGCTCAAGATTTCCTGGAATTCAACCTTCAATTTTAGCTCTTTTTCATTTTATTACTTCAATCAAAATGATTTATGAGCTTACAGATATCTTCTTGTCTTTCACTGCTTTCATTCCTCTGATTGCCTCCTCCTCGAGGCTTTTCAGCTCCTTTTCGAGATCATCGTCAGAAATGTTGTCATATTCGAATTCCATGCTATGTCCGAGCTCCTTTTGAGTCTAAAATTATGCGTGATGTGTTGTTCCACCTCAAATTTCAAATTTTCCATCCCCAGAAAAATCACCTGTTTCTTCATCAGTGACAGCCTCTCCTCCCTTAACGCCTTCTGCTTCTTGATTACCTGAAATACGCTATGCACCTAGTTACCATTTATACCAATCTTTCAAGGCTTCGTACCGCGTTGTTTGCCTGATCAAGATCCTTTCGAATTGTATCGTTGATCACTTTGTCGAACCACTGGATTAGCCGAGCCACTTTTTGTTGTGTTTCTTGGAAAACTTTCAGAGCCTAAAGCAAAACCTCAGCGAATAGTCCGGAGAGCTTCAGTCCTTTCCTCCCATACGAGGGCCATTCGCAGAGCAAAGCAGGGTCAACCCTTCATTCGCACATTTCGAGTTGTGATTTTCGTAAAGAGGGGGACGTATTTGGGATTGAAAAGGTTAACCTTGGTCGAGGTGTGGAAAAGGGGGTCGTATCAAATCCACCTTGGGGAGGGGGGTCGTAAAAATTTTCAAAAAGTAACAACGATAGGGTTGACCCTGATGGGGAGTCGGAGTTGTTAGCCGGTATTAATTTTGGCGAGTTGCGAAAACGTCGTGAATGAGGTAGGAAATTGAACGCCGTCTACCCCCCCCCTTCCATTCCTCGCCCTCTGTTCGTCGGTCATTTGACGGAGGAGGAAAAAAGAAGACAAGTGGAAAGAAGTCGTCGTCGTCGTCTGATCTCAGAATCATATAGAAACAGTCAAACAGCAACGGCAGTCAGGGCGGCTTCCAAGGCTGACGGTGATGGTGTGGGGATATCCACGAGACCCCTCTCAAGAGAGAAGGGTCGCGAAAATTCCGGAGAAGTGCGAACGCGACGGTTGACCCTGTGGCAGGCTCACTTCATCGGGATTCGAATTGGCCATCTCGCTCCCAAATGGAGGCTCAATCGTATTCATCAACTTCTTTGGGCAGATCATAACCGATCAAACAGGACCACTACATTCGCATCGCATTGTTTGAAAGATAGCATCGCATGTCCTAATCAGGCCGAGGTAGTCCAATGGCATATGTTGCCGCTTGACTCATGCGGAATGTCCTATAGAATAAACCTAAATCCACATCCCGCTTAGCCACTCGGTTACAGTCGCAGTACGGAGCATGGTGCTGTGAAGTTCAAATATCGCTTGAGTTTCCACTTTTTCGCAGATGAGGAAGGAACCACTGGTGTGGTGTAGAAGTGAAGCGCAATGGTTCAAGGCATCCCGGGATTTCCTCCTCTCGACCAAATTGAATTTCTGTGGGGATAATGACGTGTCGCAACACATCACCCACTCACTATAACGGACTCCCGCGCTAAGCCTCGCCCTCAAGTGACCTAGTTGCACCTCGCTGCCTGAGAATGAAAATGTACGTCCATGCTGTCCGCGGCAGTGCTATTCTGTAATGTACACCCGAACGCGCATTTGGTATACCACTCCAAGCTCTTCTAGGGATTAATAATATCGCGAAAAAAAAAAGATAGATCAACACCGAGTGCTTCATCCTTTTGTCCCACACAACCTACCTTTTTTACTACCGAGTCGTCTTGTACATTCTTGAAAGCTTTTGTGGCCGTATCTTCCATCAGTAAAATTTCTTCTTCTGTGGCGTAAGGGAATTCAACCTGCAATTTTATTATTTGAAAGTGTTGTCCAGTCTATTTATAGAAAGATTGGCCCCACCTTGTTAAGGTACATTCGACAGGACTGCACATTCTGTGCGGCAGCGATGAAATTGTTACGAGCTTCAGCTGCTGCGAAATAACGCGCTCTAGCGTTACTGGAATCACGTGTAGGATTACAATGTCCTCATAGTGGAACATGTTTTAGGGTTATATAACCCGATGACAGCACTACCGAAAAAATTCTTGGTACAAGCTGACCTTTCCTCGATTTTCTTGATATCTTGCCAACGATTGATACCAAAAGTAATTTGTGTGAGTGCATGAACAAGCAGCACTCGTCCATTCGCCCATTTGAACATTGCCAACGCGACCCGCTGCTGCCAGTCCATCATCTCGTCCACCTAAAATAAAGAAAAAAATTAAAGGCACAGAACAGGCAGAAGTCGTGTGAACAATTCCCTTCGGTGTGTAGGAGATATAGGAGAGATCCTAGAGGACAATCACAAATGGCAGCAATGCAATTTTTTCCTTTCATCAGGCTGAAGAACCCGAGCGGGGTGAAAGGGTAGAAAGCAAAAAGTGTCATAGAAAAACTAAAAAAAATTGAGGTTGGCCGTGGTATGACGGAGAGACACAGCGCTGCGAGGAGAGGGAAAACGCGAGAGAGTACGTCGTACGCGAGAGGGCGCAGACACCACGTATGCCGCGATTGATAAGGATGGCAGCACGGCAGCACACAAGGCAAGGCCTTAGCGCCGTTGCCTCGCACTTTTGAGTCGCGACAGTGTCGTGCCTCCTGCTTGGGAATCCCTCCTTTTCACTCTAGAAAGGACTAGCTCTTGCACATAATCCTGACCCGTGGCTCTAAACTTGATCCTTCAAAGAGCGCTATAGTGCTGCGTTCGGTGCATGACTACAGTGATCTCGCACGCTCGACTTGTGCCATACAAAAACGCATCCTCCTCATCCCCACGGGTTGAGTTCTTCCCCTCTGACTGACTGATCTCTCATTTGCACCGTCAGAAACTACGGTAGGAACTGCCCTCGGGGCGTTTTCGATCTGGCCTTTTCCGGCAGAAGACGCTTCAAGTAGCCACGTTGGGGTGTCAGACTTCGCCAATCCGTGGATTTGCTAGCGATGAACCAGTGCTTCAAACCACATGCCAGCATATCGAAAGATGCACTAGTGACGCGACAGTGTTCAAAAGTGGTGGGTGTCCATCTC